AAGGCTCACGTAAGTATATCAAACTCTCTTCATCATCGTTGTGATAAGCGCTCTGCCTTTTGCCGGTCGTCGACACCACCCTTGTCGTCATCTGAAGGCATGTTGGGGCCAGCCGATCGGTGGTTGCACGATGATCGCACATCACATCTTTTGACTTTGCTGCAACAGCGTCTGACCTGGCTTCTCGTTCATTTACATTGCATCATCCATAAAATCGTAACAGGTTAACGTCGTCGTCATCGGACACGTCGACTCCGGTAAGTCGACCACCACCGGCCACTTGATTTACAAGTGCGGTGGTATTGACAAGCGTACCGTCGAGAAGTTCGAGAAGGAGGCTGCCGAGCTCGGTAAGGGTTCCTTCAAGTACGCCTGGGTTCTTGACAAGCTCAAGGCCGAGCGTGAACGTGGTATCACCATCGACATCGCCCTCTGGAAGTTCGAGACCCCCAAGTACATGGTTACTGTCATCGACGCCCCTGGACACCGTGATTTCATCAAGAACATGATCACTGGTACCTCGCAGGCCGACTGTGCCATTCTCATCATTGCCGCCGGTACTGGTGAGTTCGAGGCCGGTATTTCCAAGGATGGTCAGACCCGTGAGCACGCCCTTCTCTCGTTCACCCTCGGTGTTCGTCAGCTCATCGTCGCCGTCAACAAGATGGACACCACCAAGTACTCTGAGGACCGATTCAACGAGATCGTCAAGGAGACCTCCAACTTCATCAAGAAGGTCGGCTACAACCCCAAGACCGTCGCCTTCGTCCCTATCTCCGGATGGCACGGTGACAACATGATTGACGCCACCAAGGAGATGCCCTGGTACAAGGGATGGGAGCGTGAGACCAAGGCCGGCAAGGCCTCCGGTAAGACCCTCCTCGACGCCATTGACGCCATCGAGCCCCCTTCGCGTCCTACCGACAAGCCTCTCCGTCTCCCTCTCCAGGACGTCTACAAGATTGGCGGTATCGGAACTGTGCCCGTCGGCCGTGTTGAGACTGGTGTCATCAAGGGCGGTATGGTCGTCACTTTCGCCCCCTCCAACGTCACCACCGAGGTCAAGTCCGTTGAGATGCACCACGAAACCCTCACCGAGGGTCTGCCTGGTGACAACGTCGGCTTCAACGTCAAGAACGTCTCCGTCAAGGACATTCGCCGTGGTAACGTCTGCTCTGACTCCAAGAACGACCCCGCCATGGAGGCCGAGTCCTTCGTCGCCCAGGTTATTGTCATGAACCACCCCGGTCAGATCGGCAACGGTTACGCACCCGTCCTTGACTGCCACACCGCCCACATTGCCTGCAAGTTTGCCGACATCACTGAGAAGATCGACCGCCGAACTGGTAAGTCGATCGAGAACAACCCCAAGTTCATCAAGTCTGGTGATGCTGCCCTTGTCAAGATGGTCCCCACCAAGCCCATGTGTGTCGAGTCCTTCTCCGAGTACCCCCCTCTTGGTCGCTTTGCCGTCCGTGACATGCGACAGACTGTTGCTGTGGGCGTTATCAAGAGTTGCTCCAAGGTCGCCAAGGGAGGCAAGGTTACCAAGGCTGCTGAGAAGAAGAAGTAATTGTGACGGTTTGCCACCAGCACTGTCTTCTCCGGCCTTCATCAATTTGATGGAGTCCGACCCCATCCTCTTTTATTTCCGCCCGCGTTTTTTCTGAATGGTTTCAACGCGGAGTCAAATGTAAACCTCCCCCGTTCCTCGTCTTTTCGTCTGTTCTCTTTGTTCATATGACTTGAATCACAGACTCAAAATTACCCCCATTCTTTGCTGTTTGTGTAATGTGTGTCATGATTTCAGTCCAGCGAGAAAAAACATGGGTTAGTGCGTATTCAAAGACGGCGATGCGGTTGATCGAAGGAGAGAAATTGAAGGGAGAAAATTTAAGATTTGCTGGAATTTCTAGAGTCAAATTCCGCAGCACTCTTTTTTCCGACAGAAGAATTACAAGTTATGAGCTTTGCCCTCGCGAGAAGAACGTGAGTGTCGATTACGAACGGCAACTTTTCCTTCTGACTTTCACTTCCGATTGGGCTATGACCACAACCTTTCAGCGTTTCATTCTTGCCACTGACTCGACGTCGTCGTTCATGATCGAATCTACGCCTCTAGCAGAGTGCTAGCACAAACCGGAAAGGTTTGATGGATGGGGAAGGCTTGATGCCTGTGCTTGTTTTTCGCGATCCCTTCCAGGCTCCATCCCTTTCTCCTCTTCTTTCCTCCTCTTTTCTTACCTCTTGAGTCAGCTGCCCTTATAATAGAGTCTGGATGATGGTACCAACATCATCTGTGACGGGACAACCTGGGCTACAGCAGCGAAATCGCGACGTTTACGTCACTGCATCAACCTCGTCATAACTATCCGGCTCGTCTCTTTCACAAATGGACGCCTCGGCTGAAAGACCTGGAACATTTTTTCACATCATATTCCAACTTGCTTCCCATGTAAACATTACACGGGTGATCTAGAATGCCTCGCGAGCATTCCGGACTGTGACACTATCAGCGCTTTCCTTCGTGACCACCGTATTTGGGCCGGGAACGAACTCAAGGCCTCTCAATCGAATTCATCCCACCAAGATTAAGACGGATCTGCACACCATCGGTCACTGTCAAATGCCCAAGTCTTGAGACGATAAGGTGCAGACCTGGAGATTGTTGTCAATTGCTAGAATACAGATGTGAACAGATGCGAATGCTAAGGACCAGGTGCGTGAAAAACAATGCGGAAAAAGGGCATTCATCTTGAAAGGCTTTTGTATCGAGCCCTTCCGACTTTGACCTGTGGTGGTGGTCAACTATCCGAGCGTTGCAGACGCTCGAGCTCACGCTGTGCACGCAGCATGGCATTCTCGTCTCGCAACCTCTCCATCTCGGCACGAAGCATTTTGACCTCGGCCTTGAGCTCCAGAACGGTCTCGCCCTGCTCCGATTCTTCAGCTTTCTTAGCCTGTCGACGCATGCGCTGGTACTCGATGTTGCGCTGCGCGCGACGGCGTTGCGCCTCACCTGGTTCGAGGACTGGCTTGCGACCCCTCTTGCGAGGGGCGCTTGACTCCGTGTCTCCACTTTGCGACTGCGACTGTGACTGCGGCGGTACTGAAGCTGATGTGGCGTCGAAGCAGGTGGAACTCCTCTCTCGCATCGACGGCGAAAGCCCGGCTCGTGCAGTGTTGAGAGTAGCTCGATGAGCTGACTGCCCAGTGTATTCGCCTTCGTCTCTGAAGCCCTGGCTTCCGGTCAGGAGCTGATGCGTATCTTCTCTTCTTCCTCCACGAGCATCCCTAGCTTGAGGTGCCGAAATCGGAGAGCTTTGTCGCTTGCGTGACGATCTGACAGGACGACCAGAAGGAGAGAGGAGCAGAGTTGAAGATGTATCCTCGCGCGCAGTACTGAAGCTTGGCGCTTGAGGGACGACGTGCCTGGACGAGGACCATCGATCATCAGCTTGTACAGTGCGGCCAGGAGCAGCCGATGAAGCATGATCAGAGTTCGATATGCCTCCCAGCGACTCTCTCCCGGAAGATTGGACTGTCTGCTCTCCTAACGAGGCGCGACAAGTGTCCGTACCTCTTGGTGTATGCATTGGCGAGCGATCAGACGGCTGCGGATTGCTGGCTCTGTACGTGTCATTCAAAAGACCGTTTGTTGCTGGGGTCTGGTTGCCAGAAGGCGTGCCGGAGTGCGAAGCGACAGCTGCAGCTGCTGCGGCTGCTGCACGAGACTCTTCTGAAGCAACCACATCGCGCACCGCCAACGACCATGCTGAAGGAAGGGGAAGATCCGGATTCAGATCAGGATTGAAGTCGGGGTCGTCTTCGTCCTCATCCTCAAAGTCAAGGTCAGCAAAGTTAAGCGGCTGGTACGCGATGCTTTGTACAGGTGCAAAAGTGCTCTGAGTCTGGCCGGGTTTTTTAGAAGCTCGGCTGGAAGTAACTTGTGCCATAGGATATTGCTGTCCCAAGGCATAGTTGGATGCAGAGTAGGAACCAACGGCTTGGTTCGACGACCCTTCCCTTTGCGTTCGCTGTTGCTCTTGCTGGCGTTGCTGCTGCTCCATCAGAGTCTGCAAGAGCGCAGTGAGATCTTGTTCGCCAACAGGTCGACGAGGAAGTTGATGATCTTTGCCGAGTCGGGCTATAAGCGCTTGGATCATAGGCTGCAGAGCTGAAAGCTCCGATTTGCTCCTCTCCGAGCCGCCTCCGGCGGGCGAACGCGAAGACGCAGCGAGTGCGAAATTAGCATGGCTTGACGTCTGCGCTGGACTGCTGTACGACGGTCCGAAAGGAGAAGGAGCAAGTTGCGATGCTGGGGTATGCTGATTCGGCCACGTGACCGAGTCCGAAGAGCCCAAGACGTGAGTGAGCATCTGAATCATCGCGCCGTAGAACTCTGTATCGTCTGCACCAGCGGCAGGCGACCGGCTGTCGTTGGCTCCTTGACTTGCGGAAGGTGCTGAAAGGGATATCGACCCTTGAGATTTGCGGATCAGCCAGTTGGAGTCAAGCTGCTCCAAGAATCGAAATGGAGATTCGTCTTCGTCGTCTTCGCCATCTTCGGCCTCAGCCTCATCGTCATCCTCGTCCTCTTCACCATCTTCATCGTCCTCCTGATCATCTTCCTCTCCGCTTTCCGACGTTTCTTCCTCCTCTTCGCTGCTCACTATACTATTATCAGAGCGGCCTGCCTCCGCGCTTGAGTGAGCTCCGTTGAGTCCATCGTCCTTGTCTCTGTTCGCAGGCTCTTGTCTTACTTGATTTCGCCTGGGTCTCGTAGCCCCTGCGACTGTCATAGGTGTGAACGGATGATCATGTCGTTGAGATGTGGTGGGACAGCCAGTTAGAGCACCGACTCGGCTGCTACCAAAAGCTCAGTTCTCCAACTCGCACCACTTTTCGAGCCTGTCTATAAACGCGCACACACGCGTCTCGGTAGTGAGTGGACTGGTCTCGCAATAAAACCAACATTTACGCAGAACGGATTTGGTGACGGGTCTTTAGCTCAGCAGTAGAGCGGCAGACTTCGGTTACAAATAACCTGTTAATCAGGAATCCTACAGGTCGCGGGTTCAATCCTCGTAGGACTCTGATATCTTATCTGCGAATTTTTTTGTCCATTTGACTATTTAACATGAAACAAGAGCTGTGTAGAAAGATGTGAAATGCGCGGCTCTGAGAGCCCCCAAGCAGAAAAAGCGTTGAATAATTTTGGATTGATTCTCGAGTTTTTATTCTTTGGTTTTGTTTGACATCAAAGCTAATTTTCACACCGTCCCGGGACACGAGAAGGTAGGATTTTCAGGGTCCAGTCGCGTCGAACTCGAAGGATCGTACTTGCGGTGAACGTTGCCCATGTCCTTCCAACACGCATCCACGACGACACGAAGACATGCCACCAGTAACGTGAAAGCCGGGCGGCTATGGTCAGAAGACTGAGTGCAGCCAAAGGCAGGCTGCTGTGGCGTAGCGACCTTGTTCTCATAGACGGCACTCGCTTGCCCGGAATCGCAATCGTTTCGTATGCCAATCCCTTTGGCAGTCCGGAGCAGGATGATGTCCGGGCCAACATACACGAGGCGGAAGCCGACCTTTGCTTGGCTCTCGAGATGCTTCGCAACCAACCTTTGCGCGTAGCATCAGTGACGAATCACGCATCAGAACCACAGGTATCGATGGCTGCTCAGAAGCAAACACACTGGGTCGCAAGCGGCGAGGTACACGTGTACATCGATCCACGAGAAAAGGCGACTTGGAGTTTCTTTCAAAGGGTGTTCTGCCTCGATGCAGACTTCGTACAAGAGGCGGGCGCGCAGCGATCTGCTCAGGTGATGATCGTCTCGCTTCTTTCATCACTCCTCGGTCCCGGTGTCGACAGAGTTGCAGCCGATCCTTTCGCGACAGGTACCACGCCGAGCGCCCCTCATTCGGAATTTGCCATCTTTGCTCAACCTGTCGCCGATGACGGTGGGACGAAAGCAGGCACCAGCTCTACTCCCGTTCGCCTCGTACTTGGACGCAGAGTTACCTTCTCGACAAGAAGAGCAGTCGCAACGAACGCCGGCAGAGAGCTCTCCAGGTCACGCAGCTTCTCCCGACAGCCAAGCGTCGCATCACAGACCTTGCACGACGTGTTTAGCCAGGCAGGTCTCTCGATACCCACGTTTGGTGGCATGTATACACAGATCTACAACACAGCTCCACGTCCCGACGACCCTTTACCGCGTAATTCCATATCTGCGTTGCTTCAAGCTCGGTCGAAACGCAAACCTGTCTTTACACAGCGCTATCGAGGTGCTTCGCCGGTCGCATCCTCTAGTCTAGCTCCGCCCGCGACAGTAGGCGCACGTACACCAGGTCGTCGAGGTGAGAAGCGCCGTGAAAGCTCAGATCGTAAGGTTGCTGGAAGCCCCGGTCCAGCACACGGACTGGACGGCATTAAATCCGACAGCAGCCACATTTCTCCCAACAGAGCCATCAAGCATCGAGCAGACCGCATATTGTCCGATTTGCCCCGCCTCAACCTCGGCAAGCAGCCAACCCGTGCCCTCATCTCAGGATCGCAAGAACGAAAGCAGCTACTCGATGTGGAGCACGTCAAGCTTGAGTCACAATCGCCCACATCGGAGCCGTTCTTGACGGACTACAAGGATTTGGAGCGCGAACCAATCGAGAAGATCAACCGCAACACAATCAAGAAGATCGTGCACACGCTTCTCGTCCGCGAATACGGCCTCGCCAAATCCGAACCCGACTACATCGCAAGCTACAACCAAACCTGTTCCGGCACCTGGTGCACGTTCCGCAACATCGCAACCATCAAGCCACTTTCCAAAGACGCCGTGGAAGACGTTGTTCGCATTCATTTATCTTTGTACTTATATTCTTCTGGTGAAATCTAACTCAATCAGCATTCTATACAGATCGGAACACTCGAGTTGGTCGTCCTCGATGTCCAAATGGCACAAGTCTAGGCTGCGACGGCAGCGTGGAGTTGCTCCTCCAACTGCGCAATCTCCTTTTTGAGCTTGTCGACGTCTTCCTGGCTCTGGGTGAGGAATTGAACCTCCATCTTCGCATTCTGGAGATCTCGTTGAACGTTCTCCAGCTCCTCACGCTCAGCTCGACGTTCATTCAGCAAATGATCAAGTTGTTCGTGGTGCTCATTGGACAAACGAGCGACCTTCTCGGTGTGTGCCACGTGGAGTCGCTCAAGATCGTTCATCTCCTGGTTCTCCTTACCTTGTCCGTCGAGCAGGCTGGCTGCAGTCGTAGGGGTCGTGGCAGCGACTTTGGACGCCATCAGTGCGAGCTCCTTGTTGGTGGCGTCACGCGCCCGTTCCGCCTCTTCGAGCTTGTCCTGGAGGTCCATGAGTTTGTCTAAATCCTGAAAACCTTTCTCGCGGAACGGAATGAGGTCTTCCTCGTGCTTCTTGGTGAGCTGCCTGACCTCCTCCACATGTTTCAGGATAAGTGCCTCCTTGTCGGCTGCGTGCTGAGCAGAGATGGCTTCAAACTGCTCGACGAAGGCGGTCTGCGACTGGTTGTGCGCATTGCGGATCTCGACCAGCTCCTGCTCCAGAGATTCTATCTGCGAACGCAGGGCCGCGGTCTCAGTCGAGCTGGCAGCCGCAGAATCCGAGGCAGCTTGCTTCGCTTTCTCAGTAGCGGAAGCAAGCTCAGTCTCGAGCGACTTGATGCGAGCATCGCTGGCTTCCTTAGCGTTCTGAAGCTGCGCCATCTCATCGCGCATCATTTTCAAATCGCCCTGCGCGGCCCCGAGCTCCAACTGGACCCGCTTGAGCTCGCCCGCAGCTCGATCAGCTGCTTCGGACAAGACGGTGGCATGCGCAGCTTGAATCGCTCTGAGCTCATCGGCGTGCGACTTGCGCATCTGCTCAAGAGTCTTGGCCGACTGTTCTTTGAGGGTTTGCAAGTCAGCCGAGTGGCCGTCTCCGGCTTCAGCACGCGCCTTCTCAAAGGCATCCATCACCTTTTGATCGTGCTCCGCCTTGACTTCGGCTATCTGAGCGGCAGACTTGGTCTCCTGGCTGGCGAGCTCGGCCTTGACTCCTTCCAGGGCCTGCTGGAGCTCCTTGACTCGCACTTCGGCAGCATCGTTGGATGAAGCAAGTTCCGAAGCGTGTTCACTGTGGACCAGCGAGAGCGTGCTCTCGTGAGCAGCGGCCAACTTGGAAACCTCCTCAGAGTGGCGAGAGGCGTCGGTAGCCCGTGCCTCACCGAGAGCGACTTCGTGTTCCTTCTGTAGGGCAGCACGAGTCTGCTCTTCAGCCTCGCGGCGAATAGACTCGAGCTCGCCTGCTTTCTGCTCATTCTGCTTCGTGCTGACTTCCTCTAGGGCACGCTCAAGGCTTTTGGCATGCTCAGCGGAAAGCTCGCGCCGGGCACTGATGACGGCATCTTCGAGCACGGCTGCATGCTTCTGCTCGGCTTCTGCTCGAGCTTCCGCGACGGCCTTAGCGAGCAATTCTTCTTGTTGCGCCTCGGCTGCGGCTCGCTCTTCCTGGTGTGTTTTGCGCGCCGTTGCAAGAGCTGCAGCCTCCGCCGCTGCGACGGCTTCGGCAAGTCGGGTCTCGAAGGCAGAGGTGTTGCTTTCGATCTGACCACGCAAGACTTGATGGACCTCCTTCAGCTCTCTAAATTCCGCCAGTTGCGTTTGCAGTTCCTGGTGCTGTCCCTTGAGGATATCAAGCTCGGCTGCTTTGTTCTGCAGGTCTTCGAGACGCTCTTTGAGGGGGCCAAGCTGATCCACCTTCTTCTGCAGCTCGCCGTTTTGCTCTTTGACAACGGCAATCTCAATTTCCTTGTCAGCCAGGGTCGAAGCTCCCTCTTCATCGGCCGCGCTCGCCTCTGCTGCCTTATTCTGAGCTTCCGACAGCTGGGATTTGATCTCGTCGAGCGCCGCCTGCAGCTTTTCGTTGCGAGAAAGCAACGCTGCTTCTTTTTCGCTGGCCTCGTTGGCGGCAACGGCGGCGGCAGATACTGCAGACTGATGAGCCTCGCGCTGTTCGACGAGCCGCTTGGCAGCCTCTTCGTGGTCAGCGGTCGTCTTCTGCCCATGGTCCATGGTCAGCTGCTGGATGCGTTGTTCGAGTTCAGCCACATTCTTCTTGGCGGCTTTAGCCTCGTCCTGAGCTTTCTCTGCACTGCTCTGATACTCTTCGATCTGCTTGAGGCTGGCATTGAGCTTGTCTTGGACTTCGGCAAGTGCCGCAGTGCGAGTGTCGGTCTCCTCCTTGGCGTCAGTCTCGCGGGCGGTGGATGCCTCTTCAAGTGCGGATCGTGCTTCCGTCAGCTTCGATTCGAGGTCATCGATCCTGGACTGCGCAGACGCAATGGCTTGTTCCTTCTCCGCGAGGACCGCGTCATGCGTAGATGCTTGATCCTTGCGGCTTTCATCGGAAGAGCCGAGCTCGGACTTGAGCCGCTCAATCTCAGCCTCCAATTCCTGGACGCGTGCTAAAGAGGAAGCATCCTTTTCTTCATTTTTGGCCGTCGAATCTGCTTCTTTCGCTTCAGCAAGTTTGGCTTCAGCAGCAGAGAGGCTGACAGTCTTGGCCTGCAGCTCTTCGTCTTTAGTTTCCAGAACGGACTTAAGTTGATCGAGCTGGTCGCTCTGTTCGGCTAGTTCGGCCTCCAACTTGGCTACCTTGTACTGAAGGTCGTTGACGGCAGATGTGGTGGCTGATCCTGCAGAAGTGAGGCTGCTACGGGCGGCAGCAGAGGCAGCGGTGGCGACTGTGGTGGCACCTGGTCGTGCTGAAGGAGCCAAGCTGGATCGAGCCGCGGATGCAGGACGGACTGCCGCTCCAGTCGTGCTTGTGCCATTGCTTGTGATGGAGTCACGTCGAGCTGAGGCGGTGGTCGCAGCGGGAGCACCGCCGGATGATGCGCTCGAGCCGGCTACAGAGGCTCGTTTGGCGGCAAGGGAGGATGTGGGTGCGTTCGACGAAACAGGCGGTCTTCGAGCCGCAGTTGTGGTGGCGGTTGCAGCTGCGGGAGTGTTTCCGAAAGGTCGACGTACAGCAACGGAGGTAACCCCAGTCGTGGCGCCAGTAGTTGCGCCCACC